GAGTAGTTTCATTAGACCGAATGCTGCTGAAATAATCATCTGCAGGATGTAATTTGTTGTGTAGCTGATCAGTTGGCCGGGAGATGTTTCGAGGTCCAATACTTGGCTGAGGAATGAGGTGGTTGCAATAAAAAGCTTCGTAATGTCATTAGTTCTTGGTTTTGCGCCTAAGAATATAAAGTATCGTAAATGAAGCTCTGCGGCTCGGAGGTGAATCATATTAATATCTGTCCGAACACGCAGTCAGTCACAGGAGAATTAAAGACAGTAAACTCAGAGCCATACGAGAGATATTTCTGCCGAAGCTAAGTTCCATGTCCCTAAGCTCGTTCTCCAAAAGCTGTACTATGAGGAGTCTCTCGGGTCCAATAAACTCTACTGCGTCCGGCCGGCTGTTATAGAGAGACTTGGTGATTCGATCACAGAATTTTTCAATAGAGAGACGAGTTCGCAGATCTTCTGGAGGATAATAACCAGCATCCTGGAGTGATGCTGGCTCAAGCGCCCAGTCATATATCGTCCCTGGAGGTTGTCCGTATCCGGTGGCAATACTGTTGACCTCCATGAACTTGTGATTCTTCTATAGTATAGGGGGGTTGGGCTCTCACTTTTGGGCGACAATATTACAGACGACCCAGGTCTGCAGCCGATCCTTCACAGCCTCACTGTGACCTATTCGAAATGTTGTAAACTCTTCTGCCTGAACAGGGCGATGTAACCCCAACTGCATGGAAATCTGCATCATCAGCCCGCAGAGCATAAATGTAGCATCCTTTCTCTGGCTGGTTGTAGGAAGGGGCCAGGTGCACAGAAGGCAGAGGGCTTTTACAATGGCGTAATCCTGTGGCACGCTGGTGATAGTCGACCATAGGAGTCTGGTGAATGGACCAGTGAGTGCGCCGAGGAGGCCTGGCTCTGCTGGAGCCCGTCGGCTAGCGACGCAAATTATCGTCCATGCCTGCAAAGGACATCGGCAAAGATAATGCTCTGGTGATTTTTGAGGGTCTAAAAGTGGAAGAAATGGATGGTAATATTTGAAAAACCTACTAGATCATTAGAGATTGAATATCTCATCCAAGAAAGAAAGACACAGGGACCTACTGCTCAAATAATCGTGCCACTCTTGGCTTTGATAGGGAAACGTCTTCCAGTCTCCACATATTATCCTGAAATAGGTCAGATCTATGGCTATGCATAATTTAAGGGGTAGTTAAGACCTGTGGTCCGAGGCTGGAAGATAAAGGTTTCCCTTGATTCAGCATTGTAGATGATGAGTCCCAGATCGCGCTCCCTAAAGGCTGGGACACCACATCACTGACGTTAGCCTCGACAGCGTGGCCATTATGGTTGGTATTAGTGGCAAGCCGTCGACGGAGCCCTGCAATTTCGCGCTCCATTTCAGCATTTCGCCTATCAGGATTAGCATCCCAGAGCCGATGTCATGTTGATTGATGTAGAAGATACCTTCTTTTTGAGATACGCGTGAAAGAAGGTTCAACCTTGCATTCAATCTGGAGTCCTTTGCAACGCGAGCAGGCGTCCGCGGGGGTCTGGACGATATCACAACGAAGCTACCGTATATCAAATCCACCATAGTTTAGTCAAACGACAAGGCGATGAAAGAGCCGAATGGGCGTCCCAAGCGCATGACTCCATTTGGACGACTGGGTAGAGGCAGGATGCTTTGGAAGAACGTTTGCTCACTTTTTGCTGTTTGCACTCATTGCAAGCTTTCCTCGTACCGCCCCGTTGCTTTTTCGTAGGAGAGAGTGTTTTTTCCATATCTTTGGATACTATCTCCGGAGTTGTTCCGAGGATCATTGGGGGAATGTTATCGGATTTGCGCATGGGGAAGCGATAATTTAACCCCCAAACCCCGCAGATTGCAAGTTATCCCGGTGGCGGTCTTCCGAAACAGCGCGAAGCATGTTAGTTACTTCTACAGGTATATCTCACCTCTCAAAACCAGGCTTCCTAGACTGAAAAAAATGTGCGAGAAAAAAAAAGGGTTACTGATTTTCCATTGTCTCAGAGACTTTGAGGGATTCTAATGATAACAAACTGCTTTTCCTCTACTATGGCGAATCCGAATCCCTCGGTTCCTCGGTTCCGCGTGATCTCCCAGGTCCCTCGGAGGATCTCAAGAAGAAGACCTTCCTCATAGTCATCCTTTTCTACGGCATAGTACAGAGCCTAGAATTCAGTCTAAGTGATGATCTTCTGTGAAGCCCAATCAGCGATGGTGCTATATGCTCAGAGTAAACTATGACTAGCCTCGCAGCCCACGACAACTAAACTAGTTATTGACATAGAGGTTCAGCGCCATTTGCTTGCAGATGGGCTCTGCCAGTTCAATGGCTTTCTTCCCTTGATGTCGATTGTCTCTCTAGGTCTTCCTATTAAATTTGTATCTGGTAAGAAGGAGATCAAATTCTACCGTGAATCTGTTCCCGCTGCCGTAGCCTGTGCTACCCTCGCCTTTTTGTTTTCTCATGGTGAAAGATATATCCAAAATACCTAGAATCAGTCAGTATTAGCACATCTCGCTATGCCGTAGATATCATACTCGGTAGAAAGCTTCTGGAACCACTATCGTACTTGTAGTAGATGTGGATGAAGACAAATTTGCTCTCCCCCTCTACGTCAATACTACCACTGATAGCACTGAGAACGACTTCAAACTGGCCCTGAAGCTCATGATCTGTGGGAAACGACTGCAGTTCTTGGAGGGTGACGTCGTTGACAGTATCTTTTGTTGTTTCGATGGTTTCAATTGCTTGAGACTCGGTTTCCTTGTTAAACCTTAGAGAAATTAGTACTTAGAATCTTGAGCCCACTCGAGAATAGGTAGGTTGTCGCCAGAGAAACCCTCATCCAAGCCTATGCGCCCCAACTCTGCATGGAAAGAGGCGGGTCAATAACAATACAAGCCGCTAGAAGAAGAGTTAGCAAACCTATCTGATTTGCTGCTCTGTTGTCGTAGAATGCAGATGCATGCCTACCCAGTGCATTAGTCATTGAAATCATCTCCCACCTAGGGAGTATTGTGTCTTGGCTATCGTCTTTCTGAACTCAGCTAAGTATTTTAACAGCTCGATCCCACCGTAGATTGTCTTCTAATCAAGACACAGCAAACCAGTCCACCGTTAATCCAGCGGCTACCCTGTCCTCAAAGCTTTCTCCAAGCAAAGAAACATAATGCCGTCCGCCTTCTAGCTGCCCGATTCAGTCGCGCCAGGTGAGACATTAGAAAAAGCTCAGCCAGACAGAGTGGAAGGGTCTGCTGTCCACTTCGTCAACTTGCCTGCTGGAGTTCCCACGGATCTTCAAGAAGAGCTAAAACAGTACCAGGCTGCGATCTTGGATTGTCGCTCGTGGGCAAGTTTTGTATGGCACAACGCCGTGCACTCCCGAAGATCTCGCTCAGAACGATGGGTGGGAATCTAAACTCGCAAGTGGGTAGGGTTCCTAGAATTGCCAGAGAGCACATGTTAAAGACGCCTTGGTTTGAGCCATCTTGCGGTCATACGTCTTGTCACTCTAGTGCCAACTGAGATAGGCTGGAATTCACCGGTAGCGGAAGTCATAAGAAAACAATTGCTGTGCGTCAGAAAGAGCTTCATGCGAAATTGATTTAAATCGTATTTGAATTATTTCTTCCTTTTTCTGGATCCGATCTGGGACTTTTGGAACGACTCTGCAAAGGCATCAGGAAGGCGATCGAAGCCAGGGAACAAATCAGGGGTGATATGTCCCATCTCGCTATCTTCGAGCGCTACAATCCTGATTCAATTGCTTCATCGATCAGTTCATGTAAGTCCAGCGGCACACCGCAGGATAACAAGTACAGCTAACGGCTCTTAGCCATACGTATTTGCGAGTTCCCAATCAGATGGAACGCAATTTTCGTGAATGGAATAAAGGGAGATAGAGATACACCAACTCTTCATGTCGGCATGGAGTACAGCTACTACGACTTCGCCTTCAATCTGAAAGACTGGGAGGATAGGTCCGAACAATTATGAAGACTGGAAAAAGAAGGGGATGGCTGACTTTGTGGGTAACGACACTATCGATGCGCCTGACCTATCTTAAACAAGACTACCACAATCAACGCTGAAGGCTTAGCTATTTCTGGCAAACATCTAGCGTGAAGTCTAGCTGGAATGAAATGCTCTTTTATCTTTCCTGTTTAAAATCTAAATTCTAAAATCAGGACTATCAAAAGTATAAGATATCCGAACTTTGAATATATTTAATTTCCCTTATAAATTTAAGTTTTAAATTTCAGAATAATCAATTTCACTTTGAAATATAGACTCTTTATACTTGTATTTTCAAATTTAAAAGCAGTATAACAAAGATTGGTTGAGTTATAAGCATTTGAAAAGTGGCCATTTTTTGACGTTTGGTCCGCGGCATCCAAAAAATGTGCCAAGAACTCAAGATATATTTGCACACGCTAACTCTGAAGCAGTTAAAAAAAAACCGACCAATTTCTCACCAGTCCTCAATCAACCTTTAATTAACCAAGCTTGAAGCAAGACAGCGCATCGGACCGCTGCCATCACTATAGCCGTAAGCGTGTATATGAACGCTTTCACATTGAGTGAAGTATCGTCGAGGGCAAAGTTTTGGATTTGGTCATCGGTCGGTAATATAGGCTTAGCGCTGCAGTGTAGTTTATGATTCCATGTCCTAGCACAAAGAATCTTATCAGCATTGGAATAGAACTTATCTATTACTTTTCAAGTTAAACAATGTTCCATAGGAAACTCGAAGTTGGGTTGGCTGGTCCTTAACTACCCGTAAGGCAACTCAGTATCTAGGCTTTTTGGGGCTTCAATGGTCAGCTGATTATCATCTTTAGACATTATTTCCAAGTTTCACTGGTGATGGGATAAATCTCTCTCCAGCCGGAAGAAATTTGTGGAAAGGAAAAAAGGGAACAAAAAAAAAAAAGATAGACATCCAGCGACTATTATCGGCTGGAAACATGTCGTCAGCGGCAGGATTTGAACCTACGAACACGAATGTACTAGATATACCATATGATATAGTTTTTAACTATGTACCATATATAGTTCAAGTCTAGCGCCTTAACCACTCGGCCACACTGACAAGGAGATGGGAATTTAAATTCGGAAGAAATCTATGTCTCAAAATTTAGTAATTCTCTAATCCAGTCCGTCCCAAGCCGACCATGCGCTACAGCAACTTTCTCCATGAAATGATAAACCATTCTCAGCGTAATCCCTCCCTTCTGGAACTCTCGTCCAGTCCACCGCTCAATCGCCTTCTGGAGCACCGCCCACGCTCGCTCCGTTTCCACCGACTGCTCCCGACCACAGAGCCCCGTCAACACGAACACCACCGCATGCCATTGCGGATACCGTTCGAAAAGCCAGGCCCACCGCGTGGTCCGCAGATCCGTCTCCAGCAGATAGGCGAATTCTACCACTTCGAGGGCGGTCAGGAAGAGCTGATCTCGTTTCGGATCATCTGGGGAGATCTCGATCAGCGGCATCTGCACCGTCATCGTCCCTTGAGAGAGATGTGCAACTAACCATGATCGCGCCAGAGCAAGTCGGATCACTGTCGCAGTTACCCATTGCGCGGGGATAGAAATGTCGCAGTATTGAAGGTATCGATCTTGTAAGTGGGTGCGAATTTGTTCGAGCTGGCGGAGACGCTCGTCTACGAGGTGTGCGGTATGGCCTTCTCTGCTGCTGGGGGCGGGGTGGGCATTGAGAAAGGAGCGACGGTAGCGGACGGTCATTTCGCAGCGGATCAGGCAGAAAGTCATTTCTGTGAATTCGTTGCGTTCTTCCGGTGGCGTAGTTGACTCGGGGGATAGGCCTGTGTCATTGATGTTGAGGAGCAGTTTGGTATCATAGCAAGACTTAGTGATTAGTGTGCCGATGACATGAAGCTCGGACGATTGACTGTCCAGCAGATAGATAGACCACCATAGTCGGCGACGCAGTTCAATCTCGAAGGGGGTGAGGCTAAAGTGGGTTCCATCGCGATGCAATCCTAGCCCTTGTGCGAGCCGATAAACCGCCGCGGTCATGGTCCAGACGAACTCGGCGTCTCCGGGGCGACGCAGACAGGTGAGGAAGAGTACGGCCGCTTGGAGCACGGTCTGGCTTCGTGTTTGAAGAAAGCCTGCTCGCGCTAGGGCTTGCTGCGTTGCGAACCGGTATTGCTGGAGGAGTGTAGAGTGATCTTGACCTAGCTCCTCGGCACACTGTTCGGGACTCATACTGGTGACGGCGGCGAAGTAGACGGCGAAGACCACCGTCTCCGAGGATCGGTCAATATAGCTGGTGTTCGTAGCCGTTTTGTAGATAAGTCTGTGTAGAGTTGGTTTATGGAAGATCATGACGACTGGTGCGACGTTCTCCTCGAAAGTCTTCCATAGTATCTGACTGTCCCTTAGGCTGGGATGAAAGGCCGACAGCGAAGAAACGATGGACGAGTAGCCGAAGAGAAACTGATTACCATTCTGAGAATACTCGTCACCTCCATCTTCTTCGATATTATTCCCAGTCGAATCTACCAGGTCTTTGAGCTCTTCGATCTTTCACACAAAGGTAAGTTAGCAAAGGGGGTGTTTCACAGCCCAAGCTATAACAAAAGAATACATACCTGGTTACCAAGACTAACCAGAACCTCATGCGTAACATACCGAGTGGAGTGTCCTTCCACAATCAACTTGCCATGCTCATTTTCTACATGACGGGGACTTTTCGCAGCCAAAGGGGGATGAGATAGAGTAGGGGCTTCTTGAGACGCAGCAGTAGAACTAGTGGTAGAATCAGGGTCTCCGCGTTTCTGCGTCATCTCTCGGAGCTCCTGCTCTAGGCCCTTCAAGCGCGAGATAAGCTCGGCCTTGAGGGGCCGTTTTTTACGCCGAGGGGCACGACCAGGGCCTGGAAATACGCACTCCGAGTTGGACTTGAGGCAGCTATCACATGGCTGGGTCCTGCTACATCGAACTTTTTTTTTGATTGCAACGATGGTAGCTACGTGGGGTTGGCAGAAGGTCTTTACCGGGTTGCACAGCGTTAGCCATGGCTGTCGATGCAGTATATTATCTAAAGAGATGACGCGAACGCTATTCAGGACAGGGATCCCCAATACACTGCATGAGCCCTGGTTAATAATTCGGGGTTGAAATAAAGCCCGAGATCGACGGCTTTTAGACATTCTTGGTGGCGACGAACCATGGACCCACTAACTGCTTGCATTATTGATGATAGAAGTACTAAATCTTAACTAGAACGCTCAAATCTGGATCAAGAATCCGAGCCCTAATTCTTCTTGCTTGCTCAGCGCGGGCATAGGAAAGCCCGACGGCCGAGTAAAGATACCTACCCTGTATACCTCAATTCCTTTATAATTCTTCCCATAGGTTGTGAGATCGAAGGCAGATATCATACTTTCTTCTTTCATCCCTCTATTGTCATTCACCATGACAGCTGTTTTAATTACCGGTGCAACCGGTAAACAAGGAGGTTCACTCATCAAAAGCCTCATCTCACGCAACGCGCCCTTCGAGATCCTCGCTGTCACGCGAAATCCCACCTCCACCTCCGCTCAGAAACTCAGCAACCTCTCCCCCAGCATCAAGCTCGTCGAAGGCGACCTAGAAAACCCGGCCAAGATCTTCCAAAATGCCCAGCGCCTGACCCCCTCCCCAATCTGGGGTGTCTACAGTGTCCAGGTTAGCAGTCCCCCTTGCCCTCCTCCAAAGCCCACACTCACACCCACATCACTAACCCCCAAAAGGCAGCAATCGGAAACAACTCCGAAGAAATGCAAGGCAAATCACTTATCGACGAAGCTCTCAAGCAAAACGTTAAGTTCTTCGTCTATAGCTCTGTCGACCGCGGCGGCGAAGACCACTCCTACACTAACCCTACCAAAATCCCCCACTTTATCAAAAAGCACAACATCGAGCACCATCTCATCGACCGCAGCAAGAATACCTCCATGGAGTGGACAATCCTACGACCAACAGCCTTCTACGAGAACCTGACACCTGACTTCTTCGGAAAGGTCTTCGCGACCTGTTTCAAGATGGCGCTGAAGGGGAAGAAACTTCAGATGGTGGCGACCAGTGACATCGGTCATTTTGGCGCCGATGCCTTCCTTAACCCGGACCAGTATAAGGGGCGCGGTGTATCGTTGGCGGGGGACGAGCTGAGCTTTGAGGAGATGGAACGGGTTTTCGTGCAGAAGCGGAGAGAATCACTGCCCATGGCTTTTCGGCCGGTTTGTTCGTTGTTTATGGCCATGATGAAGGATATGGGATATATGTTTCGGTGGTTTTATGAGGAAGGGTATGGGGCTGATGTGAAGGCTTTGAAGGAGGTTCATCCTGATATGAAGGATTTTGGGACTTGGTTGGACATGGAGAGTGGGTTTGTGAAGCGGTGATTCTGGTATTCTGGTGTCTTTGAGGACTATTGTTTATAGAATAATGTATAGACTTAAAACTCTGTACTAATAATGTGCTGTATGGATATGTGCTTGTGTTAGACTGGCGAAAATACAACTGGACTTATCCGGTTTGACTGTCATCAGGTCATACTTCATGGTTGCGATAATGTATAATTTAGGCATAGAAATGCGTGTCCTACACTGGATTCCATGTCTACACAGATCTTGAAGTCTCAACATAATTTACTATTTCCTGAAGAGGTACAGTACGAAGATCGGCACGGCTGAGATCTATTGCGTTGAATAGTGGGGAGCTGAGTTCATCCGGCTGCACTAGTGTAGATTTCAAGCCCGATGATTCGACAAGAGTATCTGCTCAGCTGTCCAGCTCAGCTCCAATATGATACACACATTGGCAAATGTGACGGTCCAAGCGAGGTGGGGTTTAAAAGATCGGTTCGGACATGGAGGGGTCTTCTCGATATATCATCGATCCCCTTTCCAATTTTCTTTCTTTTTTTCCTTTTTTATAATCACACACCATTGACCCCGTGATTATAAAGCCCTTCCTTAACTCCACCTTCCTCCCATAATCAGATCCTTGCCAAAAGTCTCATTATGTCCGTTGCTCCTCTCAAGAGGTATGTCTTATAAAATCAGATTGCATATTCCACAGTCTCCATTTGAACATAACTAACAAATTCCGTGCTTTACTAGCCTTGACGAGTTCCGTACTCTTGTTAATTCGGGCCAAGTCGTGATAATCGACTATTGGGCCACATGGTGCGGTCCTTGCAATATGATAAGCCCAGTCTTCGAAACGCTGGCCTCCAAACCAGAATTCAGTTCGATCAAATTTGTCAAGGTTGATGTTGATGAACAGGAGGAAATATCTCAGGAAGTTGGAATCAGAGCCATGCCAACCTTCCAAGCTTTTAAAGACGGATTAAAGATAGACGAGCTGGTGGGCGCTGACCCCAGACAGCTGACAGAGCTTATTCAGAGACATGTATAAATCCCTGGGCCTTGGTTAGAAATATATCCCATCTAGTGGTTAGGAAAGGAGAAAATACCAGGGAAAGCTATATGAGATTGTTGGTTCTTGGTCATATGGCTAGATCACTCTCGTGGGGCTTTTTGTTTGATAGTGTTATCACTATAAGTGTAGTTCTGGTAGCTTCGGTTCTAACTGTTGAGTACACTGGATCTCTCCTTCACTTTGTTGTCAACATAACGGAGTCAAATGATGATTTGAATGACTCACTATATAAGTATATTTAAGCTGTTGGAGTGCTTAGAAAATAAAAAAATCAAAGAAAGCAACCAAATGCTGTCTGTCTCTGACATCAGCCAACAGTCGCTTCATCTATATCCATTCTTTTGCTTTTTCTGGCGTTGAAAATTCATTTAATACTTTTGTCGAGGATACAGTTCAGTTGAATTTATTAGTAGAAGTCGTCCGACACTAGATCCATATCTACACCGATCTTGAAGTCTACACAAATGCTGAAATATGTGACCTGCTCAAAGAACACCTCAACAGAATCTATTTTTGACTGAGGGAGGTCGGCTGTATACTATGGTATAGGTCTACTCAGAATCTGTAAGCGAATTACTCCACAGAGATCAACACTTTATCTCAGTAGGTTCCACCTATCGGGCAAATACGAAAATGTGACAGTCTAGGCAATGGGGGATTCAAAGATCGATCTGAAATGGAGGGAGGTCTTCTCAATATAAACCATCCACATCCCTTCCATTTTCCGTGGGTTACTAGGTATCGCGATTATGAATCTGTTATAGTGTTATTATAATCTTTTGCTCTGCTAAAGGGAATACAGCTTGCGAAGCCATGCATCCACTTTTTGAAGAGTGTTCTTCTAGTTCAGAATTCAGTTCGATTGAATTTGTCCAGGTTGATTGATGTAGATGAGTTCCCGAAAATTTCTAAAACCTTGGAATGGAAAATCTACCAGCCTTGTTTGTTCTTTAAAGATGGCGAAAAGAGGGACGATTTAGAGGGTGTTGAGTCTTGACCCCTGCCACCAGCCCTGACGAAGCTTGTTCAGGAGGCCGCGGGGATAGATTCAAGCAACATAATCAATCTCATCAAGGCATTCAATCTACATAACCATTTGATATTTTCTAATAAGGAGTTTTAGACTTATCCAGGATATCCTATCCAGTGGTTTAGCAAGGAGATCCATCAGCTAAGGCGATATACGACCTCTGGTTCTTGGTCATACTGTGTATATTTAGATCTCCCCGTATATGCTTTTGTTGTCCAATATTATTATTACTATAATTACACATCCTTCTAGATATAGAATAAGCTGTAGATTATACTAGATCTCTTTTTCTTATAGTAGTTGGTGTAAATTAGAATATAATAAGTCAAGCTATAATAGTGCTTGTATCTTACTGCGGAGTTTATAGTATCTTGTTCTCTTTCTTAAAGTACCCTGTTATCTTTGTATTACATATCTTATCTCTTCAATATGGGTATATAATATAATGGTTCCATTCATCTTATAATATGAAATCGGAAACGAATGTAGCTTTCCGTATTAACCAAGAAATAGTATGTATAGAATTAATGTACATGGGCGGCCTTGGCTTGCCGTCTGGTGTCTGTGGTGCTCAAAGCCTGAAACGTAGTCTAGAGCGTGTTGCTGTTGTCCGTATGGAGTAAGTTTTATAACTAAGATACTATACGGAGTGACCATTGGATAAAAGTATCTTGTTCTTTTGTTATATTTCACTAATAAACTTTAGAATATGCCAGCAATGTCCACTATGGTCATCTGGCTCTGGGTGGATCCTTTCTGACCTTTGAGAGAAAGTAAGTTGTAGTAGTACTTTATATTTGTTTAGCATCTAGATATTACAAGGGAATACTTTCTGTATTGTTGATAATAGTCATTTTTGAACGGCATGAGTTCTCTCAGGTTGTTCCTCCCTTATTGTATATCTCTCCTTTCTATGAAAACTTCCAAGTGCATTCACCGAGTGGGTGGAGGGGTCCCAACCCTAGTATGCTGAGCACTTGATCAGGTGGACTTTTTGCATGTTGCAACCACCCAAGAGCCCATTGAGTATCGTGTTGAAGAGTGGCAACTTGAATGCATTCTCTACCCCGCATCATGATTTGGGTCTGTATCTCTGCATTAGGTGATACGCACAAGAGGTGGTCATATCCATGGCTACCTGCAGGTTGATCTTTCAGCTGAACTGCAAGTAGATATCACATTCCACAAAGAGGGGGTTACTATCTCCTCCCAGCCAGCCACCGATTTCTTGATTTTGGGAACTAGTACCAGTACTACTACTAATGACCATTGTGGAATCACGTATGCAGTTTGTTTTAAATAACAGCCTAGTACCTATCTTCGCTTGACATCTCCAATATTCCAGACCTCGAGAACTGACTCCCTTTCTTATTTCAAGCCCATTCAGACTTAAGAGACGCTTGACAGAAGTACTTCATTATGGATCCCCAGAAATTGAGTATGGAACCCCCCAATCGATTGTAATATTTCCAACCGATGGAAAATTTACTGAAGAAAAGATTTTCCCCTCGCAGATGCTGTCCAGGCTTATCTGGAAAAGATCTACAGCGACAATGACCTCCTGAGCGGACTTCTCATGAATGTGACGGAGAAGAAGGCGAACCCCGTCGAATATATTGAAAAGAAAGGGTTCAAATTTCAGTCTGACGACTGGGAGGCTGTCCAGGTGCTGGAAAAACCGGGACCAAATTTCGACCTTCGTCTCGCGGGAGGCGTCTACCGGTTTGATGCTAACAAAGCTGGACTATGGGAACTGATGGTTCATTCAGTCACCTCTGCCATCTATGGTATGCTCGTCCAAATGAGAAAGAGGAATATATCTCCCATTTTAAATAAAACACAAGCTCTAACGGCGCGTGTCCTGTTACAGTCAACGGAAAACCAGTCACATCTCAGAAAACAGATAACCAGGGATGGGTAACCTGTGAAATGGAGTCACAGCGTGACCTTCGCATTCAGTTCAAGTGCGCAAGCATAGTGGGGGAGCCTCAGCCTCACTCGAAACCCCAGTTCACAGGCGAGGTTTCCAAGACTGGGGAGGGTGGGGAAAAGGAGGTAATCACGGGCCAACGATACTATCCCTGGGGCAATGCGTACGATAAGATCAATACAAAGCAACTCATTACAAACCCGGGGACCAGTGCGTCGGATGAGATAGTCCGGGTGTGTCGAAAGCTGCGCGAGGATGAAGCTGTAAAGTGGTTGGCTGTCGCCCTGGATCTTTTGGCCTGTCAGTCTAAGCCACTAGATGGGCCTCACGAGATCTCAACATATGGATCCATCGATAAAGGAGACCTCTTGGTCGGTGGAGTCCACATTCTGCTTACGCTTACCTGTGCAGCAATTGGAGAGTATTATGGAGAAGCACTGGGAGCTTTCGTTGGAGCCATTGGCGGAGGGGTGACGCGAAATTACTTTATCGATATCAAAGATAATGTCATTAAGGGGTGGAGTCGAGACTTGAAGAGTCTTGTCTCGGAAAAAGAGCTTGCTCTGGACGAGATTCTGAAGGAGAAAATCAAACAAAGAGTGGAAGAAAGGGATAATGTTCAACTGAAGGATCCCAATCTGTCTAAGGAGATTGAAAACGAAGTAAAGCGGATGTATATTCTCAACGCAAAGGACAAGCTGGCCGACGACGTTGAGGACAGATTTGAGTGGTACCAGACCCTGTGGACCAGTGAATTTAAGGAGGCATACGACGCTGCTCTGAATGAAAAGTTCGAGGAACAGATGCCTCATTCACAGATCGAATCTCTGGTCAAAATAAACATTGATAGGAGAGTGGCGGAAAAAGTGATACCCGACGATATCAAAGAGCTGGGAGTGCAACTCGATAATGCCGATCAAGACAGAAAGAAAAAGTTGGCAGAAGTTGAGAAGTCGGGTAAAACATGGGCACAGAAGAGAGAAGAGGAACGGAAGATTAAAGAAGAGTATGAAGGAAAGGTGAAAAAGCTGAAGGGGGAGATAAAAGAAAAGCAAGAAGACAAGGAGGAACGTGAGAAAAAGTCGAGTGACACTATTATTGACAGCACTCTAGAAGAGATCAAGAGGAACGCAGAGAGGAGACGAAGGGAAGCCATCGATAGAGCAGCACGCAAGGACCGAGACGGGGAAATTGTCTAGCTTCGCAACGTGATCCCGTTGTAGCATTGCTTTATGAATAGATACATACATTTACCACCCAAGCTGCAGTAGCAAAACACCCTTATTTCGTAGGAATCGTGCCCATCAGCACAAGGTCCCCAGGGAACATCATACCGGAGACTGAAATAAACCTTTCACCCGGAGCCAGTATATTCTGGGTCGCAAAGAAGTTGAGCTCCTCCAACGGAAAACTGAATTTTGGAAGGGAAGCATGAGGTGTGAGTTCAGCACCAGGGTGGGCGGGCTCAGTCCACGTTGTTGGCTGATCACTGTCGGTCAGAGAAAGATCGAAATCAATCTTGTAGTCCTTCACCGATGCGAGGGTTCTTTTGCTCTGCGCGAATGTTAAAAATGGTAGGGCTATAGATAGCAGCCAGGAAGGGATGTACATACTCCTTCAACCTTAGCTTTAACCTCGAGGCCAACTTTGGTACCGTTGGCCCAGTAGTTTGTATGGGCTGAAAAGTCCCAGTCCCATTTATATTTTGGCTCCGTATATGGTGTCTCATCTAAAAGTGTAAGGTGAAGAGGGTGCTCATTCCAATCAATATCACACTCTTCGACCTCATACATGATCGGATAGTGATAGTAGCTTTTCGCAGGGACAATGACTGATTTCTTGTACTTGATGTCCAGGAGAGCACCAGGGGTTGAGTCGCTTTTAGACTTGGTCTTGTCGACCACATCTAAGGGAGAGGACAGTTTGCCAATCCTGTCCAAGAGAAACTTCGTGAAGAAAAGTTCGCGAGAGATGATAATACACGCCGTGTGGTCCTGTGGTATAGAACTAAAGGCAAAGTCGCTGTACCGACGTCCAAACTGGGTATTCTGATCATTCCCTGGACTGCCACTCCCACCTTCGGTCTGGATGAAGAGATTCAGCAGTCCTTTGGATGAGACTAGCTTGTACGACTTGGGACGGAGCAGTTTCGAGGTTGGATCAGTTTTGGTGTTGATTTTGGCCAGCCCGTAATCAATCATATCCACATTTTTGATATCCTTGAACCACGCTTGAACCGTAGGGCCGGCCTTATTGAGCTGTTCCTCCACAGCCTTGTCAAGTCCGGAGTGGGGCACAATAGTCCATTCAGAGCCCATGTTCTGGAAATGAAAGATCACACAATGATCGCTGTCGCCCGTGTCCCCAAAATGGATGATATGCTTGGCATCCTGATCATGACTCCTATCAGACTAGCTGCTCTATACAGGCAGAAGGAGGGTAATGACCTACCTCGATATCCTTCTTGGTAAGGTTGAAAGACGTAAGTGGAACCTTCATTACCAAATCGGCGGAACCCGCAGGAATGTCCTTCTCAGTTTCCTTTGGGCTCCCACTGCCTACTGTGACCTTTGTTTTCATTGCGCCGGTGAATCCCATGGTGAGATTGACTTTTGGTCCTTCATTGTTCATGGAATCGAAGCTCAACCGGGGTGAGGTCAAGCTCAGATTGAAGCTATGCTCGATCTTAACGTCCTCTACAGTCTCCGTCGCACCAGGGAATGTGTGGTTGTAGAAGAATTTCTTCTCACCCCAGACCTTGTCAAGTAAACTGTTCAACTCCTTTTCCGAGTAGGACACTAGAATATCCCAGTCGTCAGTGGTTTCTTTGCCACTGAGCTTTGAGTAGTAGTCTGCTTTGGATTTCTGGGGGAGGGCCATTGTGACACGTTCAAAGATATGGATAATGCTATGGTAATGGTGATCAAGCAGTTGAATTTGAATGTTTAGAGAGTAAGAATGATGAGCAATGGATCTCCTCTTATATAGAATTAAATTGGGTGAGAGAATGCCTATACATAACACTACAGTCGGAAGATACACTGGTACATTTGGCTCCCTGTCCCAAGCTGTAACCAAAAAAAAAAAAAAAAAAAAAACCGATCAACAGGCTGAGAAAATAAAGAAATTGGTAGGAATAGCCGCTGAGTCCCCTGTTCGTCAGCGGAGGATCTAGACCTGCATAGTACTGAACCCATATGCCTATTGATTATTAGTTGATTGTATGTTGCAACCATTCTGCAGCAACAGTCACATTTTATGCAGAGTAATCCTGCAACCCCCCCCACAGTTCAGCTCGTCAAATGCTCTGAAATAGAGTTTTGGCGACATAAAAAACAGGCAACGAAGGAGTGGCTGATAACTACCACTTGCCTGGCTGCCTGATCCCACGTAACAGGAAGAGGGGTACATGATGTACGATGATGCTTTTGGTGTTTGGTTCATAACCTAGCTGAAAGCTGAGAAGTCATCCTACACCTGCATGTCAAGATGTCAACACGTAGACGCCCATCTGGCAAGGATGGGAAGATAGATAACTCTATAAATTACGCAGTGAAATATGGAGCATAATGTACAGCATCTGTCAACACCAATTGAAACACACAAACGGTTTGTTATTTCTTGCATCCAACCTAAACCAAAATGCCCGCAAAGCCACTTCCAGACCCTGATACGGTCAAATACCCTTTGAGTGATTCTCAACTTCTCTTATCTGTTTCAGAAGATTCTCATAGTCCCGAGGCGAGTATCAAAACTCCATATGCTTTGTACGTGGAGCAATTCAGCCTCACCGGAGACCTAAAGGCTGAGAACCAACACGATCCGCCTGGAAACCGTTTCGGTATTTTCGCCAGCGAACTGTATGGCCCGGAAGTAACACCAAAGGGCTGTAAAATAGCGATTTCTGGGAAGGCAGGTGATGGCAATCATCCAGATGGCTATAATGGAGGGAATCTTCAGATCTATGTGGAGCACATTGATCCTTCCGCTGCAGAGAAGATTTCTTTCTACAGTAAGCAGCGTCTACCACTGAATCTATCCAATAACGTAGCTAATATATGATAATAGGTGATGGTGGTGCAGGGCTTAATCGTGATGCCGTGACAGGACAGGAGACTGGCCCTGCTGGTGGAAACGGGGGGAACGGAGGCAAGATCACTGTGATCATGAGCAGCAAATTCCAAGAGGCTTTTGAAGTCTGCGTTGGATTATACAAGAAGCTACAGGACGAGAAACAAGTTTGGCCCCGAGATTTGCAAAGCGATGCCGCCCTCCTAGTAGCACTCGTCAATCAGAAGGAGATCGGAAAGGCAGTGAAGCTGCCCGACTCAGTGAAGACAAAGGAGTCCATGCTCAAAACCTCAAGGGAAACGATACAGAATGATATCTATGAACTATTTGACAACCTCCAAACGGCCCGCAACAACCTGACGGGTACCATCCGACAACACATTTCTGTGCATGGTGGCTTATACGGCATAGGCGGCATGGGAACTAAAGCGCGCGGGCCACCTGGCGCCCCTGGAAAGGTCGAAGTAGCCCCACAGGTGTATCGTCTCGATCAAAAAGACAAGGTTCTTGACGGCAATGTGTGCTTTGCGCATCCTACACAGTGCCGAATGCTGCTTGATATGGGAAACCTTCTCTGGTTCTGTGGGTCAAAAGTAGACAAGGCCAGGGCTTCTGTTATTTTTATTCGGCTTGCGAGAAGATTAGCATTCTTGGGTGTCTCTGAGAAGGAGGCCAAGATCTCTCAGATAAAGCTTGCGCAGGCATACCGGGATGTTGAGCCTTCCTTATATATACTCAGCAATGGAGATAAAACGCAAGAACCCATATCCTTCAGTCTCCTACGTGGTATCAAAAATGAGGCCGAAGCCAACCTGGCCAGTCTGCTATCTGGCAACAATTCCTATGGTAAAAGCCAGGAAAATGTTCCCAGGGGCTCATTCAAATTCTACGAAGGCGCCATCCGCCCCATGATAGAAACCCTGGAGAAAGCCGAAAAAACTTATCTCACCTTTCTACGAGGGGAGATGGATGTTCAGCAAAAGAAGGAGGCCATTCGGGACCGACAAACCAAATGCACCTTCCGCAAAGGCCTAGCCGACGATCAAATCAAGGAAGAGAAAAACGATCTCACTGATAATTTCGACAGAATACAGGTCTCCGACCAGTCTATCAAACCGGCAAAGGAAAGTCTTTTGAGGGAGTTTGAGAAAGTGAAAGATAAGATCAAACTTTCCACCAGCGTTTCGTTTGACGACCTCATGTCTGCTCTTTCCCAAATCATCTTTGTGCACGGATCTGCTCCCATGGTCATTCTCCAAGGCACAAATCTGGCAAATACAGCACTCACAAAGCTTGAGTCAGACAGTGGCATTAAGGTCGAGAGAAAGCTTCTATTGAGGGAAGTCAAGGATGTGAGTGGAACGATTGACGGACTTGGCGAAGGGTTCAAAGTTCTTAAGGATGGCGGCGTCGACTTTAATGACCCAGGCGCAACCAAGCTATGTGTCGCTGCAGCAGAAACGGAGAAGCTCCTAGGGGAATTCCACAATGTTCTTGGGGATGATATGGTAAAGGAAGTCAAAAAGAGATTCGATGATTACATCGGTGAGTCTTAACCATCTATTGATGTAAACATTTTAATTGGTCATCTTAGAGATTGTCCAACAACGCAATACAGCGGTATTGGGGTATACAAAAGCCGTGTCCTTGCTGATCAAATGCCAAACCGAACTTGACTCGCTAGCCGTTGAGCAGATCGACATCAGTCGCCAGCAGTATGACGAATTGGGTGCAGATCATCCAACCATGACAGCATTCATGAAGAAGCTATACACCAACAGCATACATACAACACAAAACTGGCTGCACACGATGCAACTGGCATATCAGTTCGTTGCTCTCGACAAGGAAAACTACATCGGTAAGGCAATGGAGGGCTTCAAGTTTTCTCAGTTCAATGCCTCGACGTTGGAAAATGTGTACATCAAACTCTCCACCCAATACAATTCGTACAAGGAAAGTATGGGCCGGGACCCTCAGACATACAAGGAGCTGCCCTATACTATCCCTGATCGCTATGTCCGGTCTATTAAGCTGGGAGGGACAGATGGAGTTGTACGCACGGTCCCGATCCCAGTTGTTCCACCCACAGGAACTCCCAACCCTTTTGATGGAATGATCGATATTCGTTTACTAAAGGTCCGTGTGTTTCTGGATGGTGCAAAGACGTCTAATGGATATCTCGATATTACACTCAAACACCAGGGAACCGAGACAATTTTGAACCGGGATCACACTAGGTTTGATTTCCAACACGCCCCTCTTCCCGTCAGGTTCAAGTATAACATGAAGAATCCCCATTATCCAGACCACGACACAGTAGACGGGGATATAGGCTCGGCAACTGACGAGACATATTCAAAGGTTGGTCCGTTCACCAACTGGACCATCCAAATTCTACCTCAGCATAACCCGGGGCTGGATCTTTCAGACGTCACTGCTGCCAGGTTTGAGTTTTGCTTCAATTTCTATGCAACAACTTAGGTCAATTTCCACATCCCTGATATCGTGTCTAATAGTATGAATGTAAGATTGGGATTTTGAATTCCTGGTAGTGGCACATCTACAACCCCCCATGCTATAGTACTTACATTGAGAAGGTTGATTCATCAAGTCTTGAAATTCTATAAATTTGTATTCGAGAAGACCGATTCAAACAAGGGTTTGAAAATGCATGTAGTGAACACAGACAAATGTGGAAGCTTTCCACCAAAAGTGACTCACAACCGGCACACCTAGCACATTCCACCGAGGTGTGGTTCCTGATCCCGGCATGGCAGGTGCTCTAATATAACCATCGATAATATCAAAAGCATTATCTGCCGTTTTCACCGCGAGCATGTCGCAGTTTGCGAGAACATTGCGAAAGTACTAGTCTGGTATAGCTTGACTTAAATAAACAAGAGGTGCGAATCTAATATCCAATCCATATATTTCCTAGACACTAATACTATAGCCAGTAGCAAGACAAAGATACTGGATACGATGAGCTTTCGTTAAACCGCCAATCCTTTGAATCTTTAGGTTAATACCCTTACCCGCGTCGTCAGCTATTATTTATACCATAGATATGTCTGTAAGAGCAAGCTTATTATAACTAACTGGAATATTATTCCTCTGTTTCAGAGGGAGATATTCTCTCTATATTTGACAGGGGGCCTCTAGAGAAAGGTCGAGCTCCCTTAGATAATAATCTTGATATCTACAAAATACCTTTAATAATAAACCTACCATCAGTATTAACAATAAACCCCTTATTAGACCTCTTATCCTTGAATGCTTTTATACTGCGAGTTCTATTGATGACAGAGTCTCTACGTGTAAGTTAAATATATCATGTCATAAAAGTAGCAAAGTTGTTCACCTGAACCTTTTGAGTCCTTTCTGGTCCAAGTTCTATATACCCCGAATTCAACGATATGTACATGCGCGCGTATAGAATCATTAAATACTAGATGAATACCTTTTTTTTTTTTTTTTAAAATATGAATCATACCCTTCACGATAGACCACCTAAAATCATTTATACACCAAAAGCAAATCAATACCCATCCTCATCAACGGTAGTCAACTGGTACGAATCCAAACTATGCTGAGCAAACTTACTCCTCGCCCTAAGTTCCGCCCCATACCGCTTAAACAACGGCGGCACAGCACAGAACACCGTCGCCACAGCCGCCAAAACCGACACCGCCACATTATTCCCCAACCCATTAAACATCGCGGGGGCAAAGAGCGGCGAGGCAGCAGTGAGCAGCGCACGGAGGAAGGACTGCGCGGCGAACCCACTGGCTGCATAACTGAGGTAGTTATCGGCCAGATAGCCCGTGAGAACGGTGGTGAATTCACAGTTGGAATAGCCAACGCAGACAAGACCGATCATGGAGACGATCCAATGCACGTTGAGGACTTTGGGTGGGATCGTCCAGGCGAATAACCACATGCCGATGGCGAAGACGGGGGCTCCGATGACGAAACCCATGAGTTTGTCTTCGGGGGTGATGGGGAGGCCGTTTTGTCGGCGGCGAGTGAGAACTTGGTAGTCGTATATGCGGGTGCCGAAGCTGAGGAGAAGACCGATGCCGATGGCGAGAAAAGGGAGTGAAGCTGATATGACGCTGAAGCCGAAGGATTGGTAGACCGGGGGGAGGGCTTCGGTGAAGAGATAGATTAGGGTATAGGGGATTGGGGAGACTACGGATACGAGGAAGACGATGGGTTCGGTAACGAATAGACGGAGGGGACGGATGAGGGTCACAGTGGCTAGAGTGTGTAGATCTGGGACGTGATCGGGATTCCAGCTTTGGAGGTGGCTCTCTTTTCCGTTTAAGATGGTTTGTTCGAAACGGCGAAGTTCGTCTTTGAGGAGTAGCGATGGTCGAGATTCTTTGATGCACATTAGGATGAGAGTTAAGACTCCCGTGACGATGGCCGCAATGTAGAAGACCCATCGCCTGGGATGGTCAGCATGTTGATATGGAACAAGGATGATGAAAGAGACCTACCAATCGAGTACGGACACGATGCCCGTGCCAAAGATAGGACCGATAATAGATCCAATGTTCCATACGACCGTCCATATAGACATCATCCAGATGCGATCGCGTGCATTGAAGAGATCTTCGATGCTGCCAGCTGCGATGACAGCAGGAATGGCCGAGAGGAAGCCTGAGATAAAACGACCGATGACGACACCGACTGGGAAGGGAACTACAGCCACGAGGACGCAGCAAATACTGTACAGACCGGTGCTGACGACGTAGAGTTTCTTGCGACCAAAGGCTTCAGAGTAGGGAGGGAAGATGACGCTCCCAATACCCTGGCCAACCATGTATCTGGTCTAGTCAGTAGCTAGAAGAAGGTGTGATGCTGGAATGGTGGTAGTACATACAGTGGCACGAAGATAAAGATGGATAAGATTTCATTCATGCCTGTATCGTTTCGGGCTGCTCGAGCTGCTGGTGCCTGTCATCACTGTCAATACTTGCATCTGAGTACGACGAGACTAGACATACTCCAGCAGTGCTCGCACAAGTTCTACCAGGCCATTAGCGATCGGATCAAATTGGTCTGAGGATGTAACATACACGAAGAAGTCCAAAAAGATAATCCAGGCCACATCGTGAACCTTGCGAGCCAAAGGCCAGTTGCGAGGATGCCGAGGATTGTCAGTTCTCCAATGCACACAGCCATCAGCAGCGAGTCTTAAACCTTCCTGGTCCAATTGTTGCTCGAGAATGCTTTCCTCGGAGTCCACGGGGGGCGTCTTCATGTCCATGACTCTGGCTTCCATGCTGAGACTGAGGTTGTCTATGCAAACAAGCCAGGTAGCAAAGAATTCTACTCTTTCACAATGACTATCTTGTTTTATACTATTATTCGGGGAGTACTGCGTGCGAATAAGGCGCTCTGTCGATCCGCCGATCAGCAAGGGGCAGACAATAAGGGCGCAGTGGGGATTGAAGTGGATTTTGAACAACAACTATTGCGATGGATCGTCGACCATGTGTCCAAAATTTCTCCCACATCGATCATGAGCTCGAATTTGAACCGAGAAAACTTTCTTCGAGACATTTCCTATGTTTAATACCCCATTACATGAGGAAAGTCGAAACAGGATGGACGCCAGGGACCTCTGAATTCGATGTAGACCCGGTATGATGATTCAGCTGCTCCATGTAGTATGTCGATCAGAAGTGATTAATTCAATGTACTATTAAGCGGTCCTTCCAGCTGTGTCTCAGCCCAACATGATGAAGTGGCTGCTATTCTCGGTTGTTCCATATTGCACCAGCGGAGTGGAGTTTCCAATCAATTCATTCCACCTCATTGATTTGGAGGATCTGAACACCCTCTCTTTGGTCATGAACAATTACACCCCATAACTGAATTAAATGAATAAAATGTTCGCTTTTGAGATTCTCTGGTTTGCAGTTTTTACACCCATGGCCTTTCAAGTTTCACCGTTGAGAACCCTTAATTTCCCTTTCCCTCTGTTGTATGAGCTGCTGTATTCAAATTTCTAATAAAAAGTTGTCTATCTTCTCATTCCTCTCCTTCTCTATAGTACTTTCCGTGGAATGAAATAAATTATCCGCTTCGACTACCTAAAATGTTCGGATACAATAAGCGTCTCTATAGAGGTAATCTAGAGCGTACTCTCATGTTGACACTTTCCTTAAACTTGCCATTGAATATCATAATTTAAGATACCCTGTGTTGCTGGATGGAGATAAAAACAAGAGCTTTCTATATATAATTATCTCGGAGCCATACTACATAATATTTAGCCTTATATTAATTAATCTTTATCACGGGCTAGCCCTGGGTAATTTAGAATAGAAGCCTATTACTGGCAGTAAATACAAAAAGTTAAAAAAAAAAAAAGCCCCATTAGAACACTATATAAACAAGCAAGCCTCTATATAAATATATGCATTGTCAATCAAGAAAGAGCCACGACAATCCTCCTTAACGCCTCTTCCAAATACCACTCAGGATGAGTAAACACCAACCGGAACCATCCGGGCGTTTGAGCCCCAAACAACTCTCCCGGAGCAAGCATGACCTTCTGAGCCTCCAACTGCTCCGAAATCTCCCTATTCAAATCCAACAAACCCACGCTTTTCTCGCGGGGGTGAAGCTCACAGAATCTAGTCCCCAGATCAATCCAGAGAAACACCCCGGCATGAGGGCCTGGTCTATACGGAATGCGATTTTCCTTCAGGAACCGCGCCGCCGTGACAAACGCCACCCGCATGCGCTGTGAATTCAGCTGCAAGTAGTGGGTCGTGAACTCGTCATCTTCGAGGAGACTTGTCGCAGCCATATCGGACGGGCCAGCCACGAAGGAGTACCACGATAGACGGCCCAATGCGCTATGGAGTTGCCGGTTGGATTGTGAAACGATCGCTGCGACGCGGAGACCGTTCGCCCCGAAGTCTTTACTGAGCCCCCAGAGGACGTGAACGCGGTGCGGGTCGATGATTCCATCGGTGTTGATGGTGGTGACGGATTGGAAGGGGTTCGGGGGGACGTTATCGATGGGGTTTTCCCATTCGGAGAGAGAGTAGATCTCATCGCTGATCAGGTGCATTTGATGTTCTTGGCAGAGTTGCATTAGGGCTTTGATCATGTTGGGGGCATAACAGCGTCCGAGGGGGTTGTGCGGGTGGCAGAGGAGAATGGCGCGGACGCGTTTGCCGGTGGTTTGTTCCCATGTGGTTAATGCGAGACGGTATGCGGAGACGGCGGAGAGGCTGAATGGGTCTATCGATGGTTCGAAGGAGACGGGGACGACGGTGGCCCCGACCCGCAGGGAGACATGCGCGATTAAGTTGCCATAGTAGGGCTGGGCGAGGAGGATGCCGTCGCCGGGGTCGAGGAGTCCCCAGGCCAGTTGCTCGAGGGCGGTCGAGACGCCGTTGGTGAGGATTAAATGGCGTGGTTCGATTGCACGGATGGGGTTCCAGGAGCGATTGAGGAAGCGGGCCATGGCGGCTTTGAGCCGTTGGGATCCGGCGCCTCCGTTGGGATAGGTTAAGGATTGTGATGATAGTCGGACGGGGTAGTGTCGTTCGATGTGCTGGAGGAGGTGGTCGCGCATGAGCAGGTTCTCAGCGACATCTAGTTCGCACAGGCCTTGAGGGTTGGTGTCAGGGTGGTAGTCGTCGTCCTTGTCGGCATCGCGGACAACACTGCCTGGGCAGGTTGCCACTGATGTTTGAGCTCGATTGGATAGAGCTGATAGAGGTTGGGTCCCAGTCCAGTCCATGGTTGGTCCCATGGGTTTGGTTAAGGTCATCGTCCTCGTCTCCATGGTGTCTAATGATTTGTGGTGATGCTGCTGAGATTCATGATGACCAAACCGGCCATGGACGACCGGTCTTTATGGCTGTCCCACCAGTGGCCAAGCATGCCTCTAGACGATTCATGGATGGGAATGAATCCCTTGCGCCATTCTCAGCTCCCTCTGTGCACGCCTCGATCGACAGGTAACGTGGATTAGGATTGAAATTATTAACCATTCGGACGTATACTAGTGGTTCACTATGGGTTCGTCTATACATAGCCCTAGACCCGCTAACCATTGCCTATTATTCCTCCCATGTTCTGTCGATCTGTCTCAGCCTCTAAGATCTAATAGGATCCACCGTGCCGATCCGATCGTCCCTGGAGTTTTATTTCTTTGTCGATCATAACAAGACGTGTATTACTGTAAAACCCCGTTATAACTTATAAGCAACCAATTTAGCAAGCGACTCAAGTTGCTTATATCGAGGGATTCCCTATATCGGGGTTGCTTATAGAGGGGTTTTACCGTAGTGGCTATCGAGTGGGGACCCCACGAAAAAAACCCCTTTTTACGACCCCAAGAAGCATTGCACCAATTCAAGCGACTACTTCTAGTGATCCATCATTTATCTCGTAATCAATTCTATGAATAGCCCAATATCCACAGTTCTGCGTATTATCAATACATCAGTGTTTGAAAGTTAAATACAGACAAAATATATCGCTAAGCCAAGAAAAAAAATAAAAAAAATAAAGATGTTTGTTTGTTTGCAATATATATTTCAATGCCCTAGTAAATAGTTATTCAGATCGATAGTTAATTGATGCCTGTCTGATACTCGACTTCTTGTGCATGTATCCTCGCACAATAGCTTGTAATTCAAGTCAACCAGATTCAGCTACCGAAACGGAAGGGCAATCTCTCAATCTGGTCGCCGTTGCTTCTAGTGAGAGACTCTGGTACAGGAATGCTCTTTAATGTTTCCCAAAGGATCATTCATCCTGCATGGCACCTTTCAAACCATATTTCGGTGACACCTACGGCGAGGATTGCGACTCAAATTATGTACACATCAGCTCGGCCTCTTCTCGTTTCACCCAATTTTCCTCGAAATAGAATCATTGCATACGCCATATAAGCAATGTCTAGTGTTCTGTAGGACTAACAGTATAATCGACTAGGCTTGTGAGAACGACCTGTATATGTAACGCTCATACAAGCTCAATGATATCATGCAGCTCCGTAATCATTGAAGTCCCTCTACAACTGCTCAACCGGCGGAATAATCCCCCCCTGTTCCAAGATACGAAACGTCCATTCAAACGCCTCCCATGTATCCTCATAGCCCGTCCATCCCAACTTCCTCGCCTTGCTCATACTAGCCACACGTCCCCACTCCCTTCCCAGCACAAATGTCAAAAAGTCCCATGTCGCCTTATCCCACGCCGCCTGACCCAAGCTATACTTATCCCGCAACATAGCCCACGCCTCCTTCACCGCAGTCCTCTTCGCCCACTTCTGAGGATCAACAGGCAACTGCAGAGCCGGCACACGCGAAACCACAGGATCCCCCTTGATTCCCATAATTCAACTCCACCCACGTCGACTTCTCCACATGGGCATCCATCACCTCCGCCCCGAACATATTCTCCGGGATCCTAAAACCGAAATACTCCGCCATGCGTGGCCACAGGCTCTGGAATGACTTGGTATCCCCGTTCGTCACATTGAAGATATTATTCCCAGCGCCGGGCGCAGTAGCCACCTAGAGACAAACCGGGCGTGCAGACCCGTCGACCTCCATGAGTTGAAGAGAAAAAGGTCCAGTTGGTTGCCGGGGTAGATAAGCTGGGAGCCGGGAAGGGCCTTGCTGACCGTGCAGTACAATGCTAGGGCCGTGGCTTCGTTCATGAAGTTGTGTTTCGCGTAACCGATGACGTCGTTTGGGAGTGCGCAGATCCATTCCTAGTTCCGGCGGGCATAGGCAGTCTCCAGGATCTGTTGTTGCGTGTAGTAGAAGTTATGTATTTCTTAGCGGACGCGCTTTTATCCTCAAGGATGTTCGGTTCTCTGAGCATGATGACTTGATGCCTCTAGTACGTACGCCTAGGCGACTTAAGGGGAATTTCTTTTTTGTTTTTAGTCTCAGAAAATTCAAGAACTGGCGCAATGTCAAGTTCCGACGCAGACTGTGAAATGTCATAATCAGGTTCCGCTCTATAAATTGCTTATACTAGTAGTTCCGTGGGAGAATCTTTCGGGAAGATGACCTTTCAACCGGTGGTTGGTGCAATTAGCCTTCCTTTGTCTATAAGATGCTCGAAACTGTCCGGGAGTCTTGATTCTTCAACATATGAAGAGATTTTGTCATGGAACTAATGGTATATGTAAGCTCAAATACGGAGATCCTGTAATGAATGACTTGCTGACCTCTTTATCAGCGCATCCCAACTCAGTGTCATCCACAGTGACTCATTTAAGCTGGCCCAAAAGCGCCTTGTCAATAGATAGTGGTCAATATCTGCACCAGTTACTTGAAGGATATGAAGGGCACATCTTGTTTAGGATATCAATTATTTGCTTCATCAATTTTTTATATTCTTCAGAAGACGCCTCAATTTTGGTATTATGAGAATCGGTAATGTAATTGTGGGCCGGCCCTGCATTAATAGGGAACCCTTGACGTAGGGCCATGAATCGTTTAGCTGCTATCTGGAGGTCGTGAGAATAGCCTTCGCTCTTTGTAGTAAAGGCGCCTTACCTTGACTGCGTCAGGGATATTCCTCAAAAGAGCTTTTAGTACTTTGGTCTTGCTGCCCCCCCCCCCCCCACCTTCTCTCCAAGAAGACCAGGCTATTCGTTGGTGGACTCGTCTTCCACAATGACATTTAGATACTTGTGAAGAACGGACGATAACACATTTTTGACATGCGTAAATCAACGAACAAAGCAGTTCGTGTAGGCGTAAGGATTGCCATTGATTTCATTCCCCCAAGTACGAACTTCAACAAGCCTCTTTGAGCCTTCGAATACACCGGGAGGGCTACGTTGGGTTGGGGGAGACATTATTGAAATATCGACGGAAAAATATGTTAAGTTTTTCCAGTAGGGAATTGTGATAAAATAGAATCCAAGTCTTCACACAACGGGTTACCAGTAAATTTAAATAGTTCTACTTTACTGGGCTCTAAGGCCTGGTAGGCAATAGTTTCAAGGTCCCACAACCGTCCGAAGAGCCACTGCGTGGGAAGCATTAAGTGGCTGGCTGCCGACTAGTGACGAAGATCTTTCTCACAGCCTATAAGAAGAGGTGGACTATTAGCCTGGATGGTTGACCTTCCCACCGACCACTGCACCTTGGCCTACAGCCCGTCACACGGCCTTGAGCGTGCTATCTGTAAATGTACCGCATACTATAATTCAGCGATTGAGACAATACACCGCTGTGTAGTGTCCGAATAAAAAGTATAAGTCCGTATCTAAAGTACTGGTAAAACTCCATACATATGCGGTAGGCAGTCTCTTTAGTAATCAAATAACCTGCCTCTTAGTGTCGCGTGGAGTAAGGATGGGATCTACACCGTTTATATGATAAATTACTTACCGGCCGAGTCCCGGGCGTACCCCAGCGTAGTTAGTTCAACTAATTTTGGAATAAGCCTCGGTATTAGGCCATGTATTAATACTATATTAGCATTTATATTGCGTATAATATTAGATAGTGGCAATGATATCTGCTTTGGTAGAGTATAAGTGTTAATGGCGAGCTGAAAGGTGGTGGGCCGTGGAGCTCGGTAAACACGTACATCCAGTTGCAGCACGGTATAGAGGCCGGGGTACGCAACATGTTAATGCGGGGGCGAGTGGGATGGGACCTAGTACTTCCTGCTTCGATAATTGGCTATAGCCCTAAAGGATCGCAGTACTAGTTGACGCACCCTTGAGAAGAACATCTCTTGTTAGGCAAGCTGGAGGAAATGTACTTTTAGTATTAGCCTAGTAGTAACAAGCATAGAAGTGACGTGCAGGAGTGATATTAGCTTGCTATCTGGCGCCTATCTTCGCGCAGTGCTAAACGCGTATACCACCAGATAACCACAAGTGAGAAACCCAGATATACATAGAAATTATCATCTTGTCCATAGCCCTTCGATGTCAAAGAATTGAAAAGAGTAGCGTTCTCTTCCCCCGCAGTACTAAATAAAAAGACAGTGATTGACAGCAAAAGTATTAGTTTCGGTGAGAGAGCTCAGCAATATTCGACTCACAGCGTACTGATAGTCGCTTGAGAGACGAAGTGAGGGCTCACATAGCCTTTTGCATTTTCTTTGTCATTGGGTCTAGTGAAGAAGAAGGCTCGTCGCATGACCATAAAACATCCTGCCATGATGCCTAGGCCAGTTTCCACGTCGAAACAGACCGCCACCATGGTTGTTTCGTCTGATCGAATTTGTTAGAGCTGATAGCGAGGGATAGAGTGGTATGTCCTTACACAGAAAACTTTCCTCCGTCATTAGATGTAAAAAGGGTATTCGAGCGATGACGGCTGCACATGCACTGTAGAGATTAGTTAGCACCTGGAAGAGGTTGAGTTTGGAGTTCTTGGAGACGAACAGGCAGCCAAGTCCAAGAAGACTAGCAATACCGAACTTGGTGCGGCGGTCCAGCTTAGTTTTGCGAATAAAGATTGCAGGTAAAATGCCAATAGCAAGGTCAAAAATGACATCGATAACACTATAGAAGTACATGATCTTGACCTCAGTATCCCTGCAACATATACCTTGAACGCCCACTTTCTCCCAATAGTACGAAATGGTGAACATTGAAAGATAGCAAAGAAGAACAAAAGAGTACCGGTAATGGTGGATAAGACCATAATGCAGTAGAGAGAGTAAACATGGATCCTGCTGGACGTAAACCGAAGGAGTGTAAGGCCAATCGATAACCTCATGATTGTAGCGGTAGACGTGTAGGATAACTGGCCCAGGAACCAGCACTATATGTATAGACTATCAATTCCTTGTATAGACTGGGAAAAATTAGTCATACTTACCAGCATCGCGTGTCGGAAGTCATCAGGTCGATTATGAAAATAATCCATCTTTTGACCTATGCCATATATTCCCCCGATAATTCCACATAGGGCAAACCACAAATTGAGTATCTGATTCCTTATGGTCAGCTATTAATATATGCATACGATCTTATTAAAAGCTCACCATGGCGATGACCATCGATTTGTCGTCCCATCCGAATTGCTTCACAATCCGGATACGCACGAAACATCGGAATCCGACCGTCACTAGTGATAGACTCCCTAGTACGGCCGGAACGACAACAGCTGCAATACTTCTACCACTGAGCATGGTGGGCACAGCGTGATGTGTGTGGACGCCTGGGTTGCTCGGAAATATTTGGAGAAGAGGCTGATCAGGAGAAGGCCAGAGTAATTATGGAGCTATGGTACCCCAGATGATCTCTAACCCCGTCAAGATTTTGTTCGTTTTGAGGCCATCGGAAATCTTCTCCGAGTGGACGACCATACATTGGTCACGCCAGTGATCGGAAGTTGTGAGATGAATCGCCACCATGACCGGTCAGAGTGGATCATCTAACTATTGCCCAACTATTGAGAAAGGATGGGAATAAGCGAACCATGTGTGATGCGCCACGGTGAGATATACGATAGAATTGTACTTTGTACCACTATCTGATATGGTGATACCATGGAGCTTGTCGGCATTTCTACTATAGATGTAGACTCCATATGGATAGCTGCCTGAATGCGCATACCTGAATACAGCACACAGCATTTTATGCGGGTCTGGTAAATCCTTGCGTAATATTTGACCATTTATATCCACGCCATCCTTTGGAAGGCCGTTCTAGGCTGCCTTACAATTTTTCGCAAGCTTGGTGGTTCTGTTCTGTCTCCATTCTTGTGGCTTGTCAAGAGAACGTCTAGTTGACAGATATAGGAGATCGACTACTAGGCGCAAAACCCCAGAAGTCTCCACAATTAGGACAGATATCCATTGATATCGCTCTAATTCAGCAACAAGGGGCTTGACAATATATGAGCTTATTTCTCATCGACAATAAATACAACTTAGATACATGGTTTCCGCGACCTACTACTTAGCTCGGCTACAAAGTAAAGAAAGGTAGTTATTTACACACCCAATAACGATCCTGTGTTTCATTTATGTGGTAGCGAATTGGATCTATAAGAGAAATAAGCCGCTAACCGCAACTCTTTTACTGGTAGATTGGCTCAATTGGCATGTTGTCGCGTGGATAAGAATGAATCGACCAGGGGAAAATCCCACCGAGTTACCTTCTATGGGGAACAGCTTTATAGCCTTCCGTGTGAGATTCTAGAAGAGGCATCTGGTTCAAGATACCTTGAGAGTAAAGCTTTGGGGAACAATTTAGGGGAACAAGAGTCGAGAACGCGCTAATCAAATGCAGGTGCATCTGAGCCAAGACGCTGAGGGTTATGGTTCGATTACGGTAATTCGAGTGCGCCGGCAATATAACAGCTTCATGCAGCGTGTGCGTTGGTAGTAGACAGGCATACACATCATTAATTCCAGGCATGACAAATTTTCCCCAGAGGTTGTAACTTATAAATCCCTTTCCTGGGCCATGGCACTGCCGTAAGTTTTAATTTGCTGTGCTTAAAATGAGTGCTTGAATCAATCAGTGTTGTGCATTGACTGTGTACATGCGTCTGCTAGGATCAAGAGTCCATTTGATTTTAACTGAGTAATAACGACTGTGAGATGTAGTGGTTGATTAAGTTCATCCTGTGGATTGATCATAAACCTAAATAATGAAATTATAGATGCAAGGGGAGCTAGATAATGGCTCCTTGGCGGGTAATCGATCATCTGGGATATACCCTCTATCTGAATAAAGATCGTACGAACGTGACGCACGATATTGGATACGTCTGAGGAGCCAGCACGTTTGCGGAGGGATAAAGTTAATAGCCACAATCCCGAAGTTATAGCCTTAGATATAATGTCAGCCACCTTGTCACTACCATGACATATAGGGTGGTGGCCTAGATGTCTAGATCCCAATTGTCATAACAAAGGTGATCAGCAAATTGCCTCATAATACCGCATGAATTTGAGCAAAGCCCTTGCTACAATGTGAATCTGAACTCGGCCGATCCTTCGAGCAGCGTCAGGCCGCGATGAGCTTTCCGATTGGCAAAAATGAAGGACACGCTCAAGGCAAGTACCAATACAATAATTAAGGCTGATGCACTGTTGCGACATGACTCTGGTTACGGATGTTGTCTGACAGGAATGGGACGGGGAAACTTACACAAGATTGGCATAGATCCCAGGATAATATTCAGGGGCATCTTGGGAGCGAAAGACCAAGGACCCGGCAATTCCGCCAATCCCACCCATCCCAATCATCATTGCACTTGAAAAGGCTCGTTTCCACTGACCGCGGATATTGCCCGCCTGGTATGCCAGAGCAGTGGGTGCGCTGGCGTTTACTCCTCCTGTCACCAGAAACACTCCAAAGTATCGAACACCATTGCCTTTCGCTAAACCCATCAATGAAATCCCCACCAGTTGCATTAAAGCGTTGATGATAAGAATTGGCCCACGTAACCGGTACTTGTCACCAATCCAGCCTTCAACGATCATGAGAATGCAAGCCCATACGTATGGTGGTGCACTCAGATACTGCGATTCCCCAACGCCAAACCCCATGCCATTGCGTAGGATCAATGGAAGAAAGTACCCGATGGAATAGGTCACTGTCATCAGGCAACTAATCCTATTGTCAGGGTATCCATTTCCATGTTTGGGGCGATTCAAATACCAAAATATAAGACCGTAGCCCCAGAGCCGAATGTCTGCCACATGTCGAAGAAAGTTCTTGATCGAGAAGTCTTCGGGCTCAGCATCCCCTCGATCTCTATTCACCCTGCGGATGACAAAGGCGCACTCCCTTTCATTTAGAAATTTCCATGAACGATGTGCTTTGTCTGGGAAGTCTACAAGCATTAAAAATGCCAAAAGGCCTATAGCCAACGTGATCTTTGCAAGTGGGAATATTCCTAGGTCAGCCTCCATATACTGCAATTAGTGTGGGGTCATGTCAACGGACCACGCCTTCAATAATAAAGATCCATCTCCAACCTTCGAGATTCTCGATGCCATCCATGTGAGTAAGCCCATATGCAAGGATGTTGGCAATTGCTTGTGAGAAGAGGCCAATCGAGTAGAACATCGAAAATCTCTTGTGCATGTCGTCTAGGTCATGTAAGTGTTATTATACCCAGGGAATGATCGTCAATAATGCCAACTTACATCTAGAATACCAGCATGACAATAGATATACCACGCCTGGGAAATAGCCACTTTCAAAGGCTCCCATGAATGTCCGCGCGATGAGGACGTGCTTCCATGTTTTTGTAAATCCTATGCCCTGGAGATATGGTTAGCTGATACCTATGATAGAGTTTTGATAACGTACAATTGTAATGCCTCCCCAACACATAATCATTGTGGTCAGGAAGTTTCGTGGGCCAAACTTTCGGATTGTAGCAGTCGCGAATGGCTGGCAGAGCACATATGGTATGAAAAATATGAGCATTACCAAAGACTTTTGCAAGACCGGTTAGACAAGACAATCATGCTCTACCGGGGTCGTAAACTTACATAGCGATATCCTTCAGTCATTTTCAAATCCTCGTTCATCCTAAAATTATTAGTGACTTCCATGCGGAAATGAAACACCGATAAGCAGAATAAAATGAGCGGTTAATGCGCAACTATCTTACCCTGCTATCGAGGCAGTCGAAACATTAGATCTATCCATCAAGCTGATGCAGTACCCGAGTCCGGCGATAACAACAAGCCTTCGATCGACGCGATGGACTATCTTTCTTTGCTCCTCGTAGGTATATTCTTCATCATCATCAATGTTTGTCGGCTCATGCTCAAGCTTGTTCGCGGGAAAGTCTATTTCGTTGGAATATGGAGCCATGATAGTTAAGGATAATAAGGTCAATGTTAACAAGAGATCTCTAGGAATCTATCAAGCTTTATAGTTTCTATCCGTGGATTCAACACGGAGTCAACCCCGCAGACTGCCTCCTCATCTATCTGTGTGGGCGTAAAAGAGTTCAAGTCCTATCAGTACTTGCGTACAGAACTCTTGGAAAGATTAAAGTTGGTCGGTTCGCGCGCGCTACTTCTAGAAGCCGAACCTACAAGGTAATGCTCCTCCCCACCCTTTGCATTTGAAGGTGTCCCTGGCTTTACAAGCATAGGTCTTGAAATATTTTGGTAGATTTGATGCTCACCATATGCCACATGTTTTATTCGCTGTGGGATAGAAGCAGTCTTTCTAGGGGGGGATTTGGAAGCTACATGTATGTAGAGCTATTGGAATGCGCATGCTTCTCATCAGCTTCACTGTTTATCTCGGTACTAGATTTAGTCGCCGTGCTAACAAACCTACAATAGTATAACATGATTAGCAAATGGGAACGTACCAAATGCCGAGAGATCGTTCGCTTAGTTGTTTACTTAGGTATACCAGCAGCTGGAAGGTACTATTCCTCTACTATGGCTCGCAAATCGTATACTTAGTATGTTCACCTTTTTGGGATTAGAAGGAGTGACTACTGTAGGTCACTGTAGTTGAGGTAGGCAGTCTTACCCTATATGAGGAAATTCCTGCTATTACCCCAGACCGTTGATTTCAGATTTGCGGAGTGCGGAATGCGGAATGATTGACCAGGATAGGGCATGCGATTGGTCCTCCAGATCCTCTATATAGAATCGTGGGTCTGCATGTCTTCAATGTTGGAGTGAGGCTAGGGCGCTTAGGTATGTCTATAAGCATTTTCTATTGGTATAGTTGATTTCAACAAGTATCTTCCTGATGTTTCTCCCAGCCAGCCCGTCACACATATAAATGAGAACCACTCTTGCTTGATATCTAGTGCTGTATATTGAAGGAACAATGCCTGTGCAAAGTCCCAGCCATACGTTTTCATGACGAGTTAGGTAGGCCTTGGACGAAGGGGTATTTGGCTTTCGATAGTTATATATTGAGCACAGACGCTTGGTATATTCCGCACCACGGAATAACAGTTCCGCTCTTTTTCCTTTTCTTTCTCTTTTCCTTTCCCCTGCTTTGGCGCATTGACCCCTGTTCCCACGCCTGCTTCTTTCTCCCCATTTTCAACTGTTATCGCCCTCTTATCACGGGTTCTCTAATAACTCCGGTGGCCCCTGCCGCAAAGGTGCGGAATTTGCCGCTATCTTAGAATGGGGGGGAATGGGGTACTGCACCTACAAGAACCATGCCATGTCAAGTTGTACTATGGCGCTAGCAATCGAACCTTTTCAACACTGGAATTTAAGAAAGTCTTCAAAAAACGGTCTGTTGACCTCCTCGACAAAAGGTTAATGGATGATAATTTTCTTTAATTCTCTAATTATCATAGTAGATACCAGTAATGTCATTTGATGGAGTCCGGGGTAAGATGTCGGTAGAATAAAAAGAGGGCATAGCCATACAGCCTGCTGATAATTTCATGGACCTCCGCCGGCCATAATGTTCTGAATTTTGAAAACAGCAGTTACTCGATCATTATACTCTGTCTTTTCTTCTTCTTCTTCTTCCCCCCCAAGGTGGTTATGACCTTTCCCACAGCTGCCTTTCATCAGACAGGGGCTTTAGGGCTAAGACGTCTGGATGAGAAGCACATACATCCCTGAATTCGGACGCCTACGACACCTGTGACATCTACACGTCCATTTATAATGAGTGACCTCGCCGGTATCAACATAGCGGTAGAAAATGTAGACAGCATAGCCTTACATTCCTAACCCTCATAGCTAAAACCGATTCCAGCAACAGTAAATTCCTACCACACTGGGAGAGATATTTTCAAGCCACCCAGTCACGAATTCGGTAATGTGGCCCAGATATCCCCCGGTTTCACTGATGCCTTGGAGTTCCTCGTTGTCATAAAACTATATGTCCTAATATCAGAGTAATAGTCAGAGGGGTCACTGTTGAAATATATTCGAACTAAAATAATTAAATAAAAATAAGAATAAGAATACAATACTATCTATTGGAATGTCTTACACCTGTATGGCTGATCGTGAGTGTTAGTAAAAGTTATCCAACAAACCCCCTTGACAATTTGTTTTTTAAGTGGCAATTGCCAGTGTAGTCGAGTAGTTAAAATTAGACTTGAAGTATAACATGTAGTATATCTTTTACATTCTTGTATATGGTTGAGTCCTGTTGCTGACGTTTCAATTTCTCCCTCTTTTCTTTTTTGGCTGTCCAGCAATAACCAATTTAGTGTAAATGTATCTGGATCTTCACACGAATGCCTCAATATGGGCGGTAACGCGGCTTTTAGTTGATCCTTTCTATTGTATACGTGTATTTTTGGTAAAAATCTCTGGTAAATATTCACACACACCCTCATGCACTTGATACCTCCTGGGTGTTCGGGGCTCTCATGAACACGGTAGGTGTTGGGCCCAATAGTGAGGTTCCCAGCGCCATTGAAGTCGAGGTCTGCAGTGACAGAGAAATCTGCAAATGGACCAGATGAAAGGGACTTGGAGCAGGCATACCCAAAAAGCGCAGATGTGGTCTGATCCTTGATTGTAATCCCTGTCAGGGAGGTTTGCTTCTGATGCTGCACTGTGATGCACGCCTGCTTAATGTCCTTGTGGACATCAAAAGAAGGCGCAGCTAAGGTGACTGCAAGAAAAGCTGAGATGGCTGCGAAAGACTTCATAGTGTATCTAATGGATTGAAAGACTATGAGGAAATAGCTTATGAGTTTGGGGCGTTTCTTATCACTATATATATACCTGCGGTGGCTCCAAGATCTGCCAATACCTTCTCTCCCCCTTTCTCTCTCTCGTGCCTTTCAAGCTGATATTGGTAGAAATTGAAACGAATGGCAGGCTGATCCACCGTCTCTATTCTCAAAATTACATGCTTGTTCCTACCCAGAGCTTGCCATAGAATAATTTTGCCTACCGCCGTTAATACTATATGACCAACTGGCTGAAATCAAAGCAAATCTGTATCCTTGGCTTGTAAGGCCAAGTGTATTGAACCTGAGAATCCCAATCAAATCTCCACTTGACATGGTTAACACAGCGCAGCCTTTCTGCCAAGAGGTTCACATTGGGACTACTTAAGCTGCTCAATTTGGTATGACTCTGTGGGAAACCCCTCAGAAGATAAAACAATATGGAACACTACGAGAAAGACTGGATAAACATCAGTGACTTAACATACTTACGCCTTGTCATGAATTTCAACTTTTATTATTATATCTATATAGAACGTATAAGATTAGAGCTATGGCACTACACCTTACGAGCCACCTCAGGAACCTCCACCAGTGTCTACTTAATTCTCAATTGATCAGACAGGTGAAAGAAAGTATGCCAGGACTTTGTATACCGCGTTTTATTAGCTGGCGGGGATAACAAGTTAGAAAGCTAGCCGGTAGCCCGGACTCAGGGGTACAGGTTTTAATTATACATAGACTATACTGTCGTGAACCAGGCTAGTTTACGGCATATATAAAATTAATCACCAGACATATGCTGCTGAGAGGCTCGTTTAGCTTAGCTATACATTCTGCTAGACACCAACTAGTATTTAGAATACCTAAAACTACCAGGTCATCTTTGGAGGCCAAGTCCAGCCCATGCTAAGACATGACTAGGCACTTAGCAGGTTGGATGATCAGCAGAGGCGTTAGATAAAATGTCTTATAAGTTATAGGAGCGCTATTACATAATATAAACAGAATATCTACAGATGCCAAGGCATCTTCTTTGGAGGCAAGGTGCAGCCCTAAGACGTAACTAGGCACATCGCAGACTTGGATGGTCAACCGAGGCTGATGGCAGGCTTTAATTTCAAGCCTATAGAGAGATTATTGAGGTGAGAAACATACACTATGGACCACCTCAGGGGCCTTCACCCGAGTCACCTGTCTATAGATATACATACTACGAATTAGTCCAGTTTAAATGGCTCCGAATGACTCTGCATTCTAGGCCATAATATACAACCTCTACTGGTCATCCAACCTGCCCAGTGCCCAGTTCTATCAAGCATACTGCTATAGCTTGATCTTAATCAAGAATTCCCACAACCCTTTCTAAACAGGCTTTCTCCAATAATAACATACTTTTTGCCTTCTGCACCAGTCACAACTTACAAGACCAACAGGAGTAGCACCGCGCGCCTTGGCTAGACTAGGCCAGCTTCAAAATATGCTAACATCTTAGTGTAGGCCGGGCTTGGCCTCCGAAGACGCCTTGGCAGTAATAAGTCTTGACTAAATAGTGGTTAACAGCCAAGAGACATGCCCCATAACTAGCTCAAACGGGCTAAGTCTAGTGACTACTTAGGTAATTTTATAGAAATCTTCAATCTATCTCTGATTAGCGCTACCTGAATACAACCTTGAGGTGTTCATAATATAACTCTCAGCCACGTGTCTGTCCAGTGCTTCGTTGGACTATGTTAAATCTGTGGAAAATTCCTTCTTGTGCTTTCTTATACCGATGGATACTTGTTAACGTCTCGATAATCCTTTTCGAGGTTTAAATCTCTCAATATCTATTTCCAGCGCCTCGACCAACCATTGGTAGGCTCTTACTTCCTCCTACCGGATATATACTTCTACTAAAGAATATAAAGCTCTACATTCACACTTACCGATATACAAACAAACAAATATATACACATTGACACAATATGGCATCAATCGGCCCCGCTCACTGTGCAAACAACACCGGCTTCCCGGAGCTCCTCTATCCCAACACCTGCGGCCTACCAATCTACCAACGCTGGAACGCATCGCAAGACCCCTACACAACGTTAGGAGAATGCTGCAATGAAGTAAACGGTAGTATAGGCTACTTTGGCAAGGAGAGCTGTGCTGCATATTGCAATGCCACAGGGAGCACTCATGAGCAGTTAGAGAATTGCCTTTGGCACTCGAAGGAGATTAATCAATTCGGATGCTCTGGTGCTGCAGCGAGGAAGGCGAGTCTCTCGAGTGCTATAGTAGTAATGGGGTTAATTTGGTTGGTCTTTATACATTAACATTAGAGAGCATCATTTGTGTTCAATATTATAATTTCATCTCTCTGTCTCTGAGACGCCGCTAGGTCTTGGTTATAGGATTTCTATGCTCTATAAGTTGAGTAAAACCACATGTCTACGTTAGCAAGCTTTTAGACGAGGAACCTGACTAGTATAATACCACAAGCTAAACTAATGTCTCCAGGCCAATTCACTGGCCGGTCTAATATCAATTGACATATTTACGTAGGATGGCGCAAGAGACTACCGTGGTCTAAGAGCTAGTCTTCCAGTAATAAGGAACCTTCCTAAAGCCTAAAACAGTAACGAATATAAACTTGTGAAGGGTGATACACCGTTGATTACCTGATATCTAGCCCTCTATAACGAAATGACACAATGTGAATATAATAGATTTGGCATCTCTATCACTTGACGGAGCTCAAGGATTTTGCTCCGATCATTCACATTATATAGATTATTGCAGTCACGATCCTTCTAGTCATTGCGATTCTGAAACTATTCGATGCAGCTTAGAACTATTCTTCATCGAATCCCTAGAATCGCTGTAGCCACATCGGCCCCATAAAGCCTAGTCTAGTCGCTGTATAGGAACCATGACCCCTAAGCGGCCAGCTCTAGGGAGCTCTCTTATACTCCTCTACCATATACGGAAACAAATATAGTGAGAGGTTATAATAGCAAACGTCCATGCGGGTGTGCCTACACAAAGGGTTACGTTTTCTACATGGTTTCTATATAGAAGGCTCCTTGCCACACGCGCTTCTCACTCGTCTCCTTCTTGCTTCTTTAGGGCTGGCTTTCCTATGAATTACGGTTCTAGGGCCTTATATACAGGCTTCCCCTTCGTTATAGATCTATTTATTGAGGTAACCACACGTGCTAGGATGGACCCTGAACCAGGGCCAACAAATATCCACTAAAATTATACACTCAAAAACAAAAAATTGCTTATCGATATATATATTTTAGCCTCTGATGAGGATATGGGGTGGTGATACTAGTTTCAAGATATGCACAACGTCCCAAAATCAATTTAACCACCGGATACTCTTTTGTTTTACCAGATCCTCCGGTTGTACTAATATGAACTTAGGATCTAACTGTTTGTGATCTAGTATAGGGCCTGATAAACGTCTGATTAAGACCTATCTTGAGACTTACTCTTTTTAAAATGGGTACCTAATTTTATGTGGAGCATATATAGCAGCTTATAGTGAGTCCTGTTCTTGCAATTCTTTTCGCGACCTTAATAAGGTATTGATGCGTAAAGTGAATAACAACTGACCGGCCTTGGTTCAACGAAAATAAAACGGAGAACAAGATACCTGCTACAGGCTCTTTCATCTTATCAGAAAAGCGGAAACGAGAGGCAGAAACCGATGGCTCAGACAACATTAATTTTAGGACCAGGACTCAGTTCAGCTGGACCTGACTAAATACTTATATTAATAGTGTAAGAAGAAGGTGATAGAATTGATTAGAATTGATTAGAATGTAAAGAAATGTAACCGAAATGTGAGATCAGGCTGATTTAGGGGCTCTTCTTGTCCTAGAAATGATTGGAATTTGAGGCTTTCTAATTCTCCGTTGGTAGTTGTTCTCATTAGAATCCTAGGCTATCTAAGACAAAGTAAAATCTCACTTTGCTGACTAATATCGCCGCAATAGTTAAGAATTATCAGTGGCGGTTCCGAACACCCACCGCCTTCCGCCGGTGGGTGTTCGGCAGCCTAAAGGAATTTTCAGCGTAAAGGAAGATAATCAATTTTCTATCTTTTTGAAGCTATACAAACCATAAAAAATACCCAAAATGTCTAAAATTTCAGATTCACATATAGGTAAAGCTATTGAAGCTGTCTATCTTAAAAAAAAACCTAATATTACAAAAATCGCGCGAGAATTCGGGATCCTATATTGTACACTCCATGGCTGTATTCATAAAAGAAGAAAGCCTCGTACAGCTCGAAATACACCAAATAAAGCGCTAAATAAGTATCAAAAGACTGCCTTAAAGCAATAGATTACTAAAATATATAATATTTATCTCTCGGTGACTATATCATTGCTTTTAGAGTAGGTAAATCTTACTGTACAGCACAATAATTCTACACAGAGTATCAGTCGATTATAGGTATATTATTTTTCTAAAAAACTTTCTCCTGATCTTAAATTAAGCCCTGTGATTCAAAGGCCAAAGGAGAAGAAGTGTCTAGATACAGAGAATATTGGATAGCTTCAATTCTGATATATTCAGTTTACCAACTTACTTAAAGATATTCCTGCTCGCCTTGTATATAACTTTAATAAATACAGCTTTCAACCAGGCGGTGAAAAACCTCAAAAAATACTTAGTACAAAGGAAAGAGTTCCTAATCTTCCTAAAACTGAGTATATAGAGAATATTACTGCGCTTAAGTATATTACTGCAGATAGCTGGGTTATAACTCCACTCTTTATCTTTAAAGGGAAGAAATTTATAGAGACCTAGTATAATAAAACAATTTGTCAAGGAAATATCTACTATTCAGGGTAGAAGACCTGTCAACTAGGTAAGGGTACGTAGGCTGAAAGCTAAGCAGTAGATATCAGGCAGACAGAAGACTGATTCTTGCCCTCTTCTTCCATTAACATTAGGCTAACTTTATATCCAGAAAA